CCAACAAATGCAGGGCTGTGGCAGCTGCCAGAGCCCATGGCAGCACACATCACATGCTAGCCAGTCCCTGCACAGAGGCACCATTCCTGCACTGCTCACCACATCAGCTCCCCACCCTGCTGTGGGCACACAGGGACATCCTTCCATCCCACAGTTCCACCGCCCCATAACCAGCTTCCATCTTCTTCTTCAGCCTTTGCCTTGCAACAAGCGGAGTTCTCTTCTCCTGACCCAGAAAAACACTTTCCATAAGCAATTAAAATTAACAGAGTTCAGAGCCTGCATTTTAATATTAAAGCATTGGATAGAATGCAGCAGTCGTGCAGGACAGGATGGGGGAGCTTTTTGTGTCTGTCCATCAGATGCACAGCTGATCCTGACCACAGCTTCCATGTGATGGGGAGCAGGAATTCTGTGCATGGCCATCAAATATGAATTATAGATTTACATGGTGTTAAGGCTGAGAGCATGCACAAGAGAGCCAGCAGCCACCTTGGGCCAGAACAGCTCCTCTACAGCTTGCTGGGCTGCAGCCTGGGAATGTATCCTGTACAAGGTGGTTTCGTGGCACTTTCAGGAGCCTACAGCAGATTAACTGTGGGAAAGGTTGCTTGTTTCCATTGGGAAGCATCAGATGCCAACCCTGAGGTGTGTCATTGGTAAAAGGACTGAGGCTGAGAGCCTCAACGCTTCCATTTCCTACACAAGATGCATCCAGTCTATCTACCCTACAGCCTACTGTTACCTCCACCTCTGTGCCTAAAGGAGAACAGCAGAGCCACAGAGCTGAAGCTCTCAGTTTTAAAATAATGAAACACATGTTGCACTTCCAAAATTTCTGTAGCTACCAGGCTTGGGACACCCACAGCCCATGAAGCTGTACACCCAAATCCAAATACAGCCCTACACACAACACCATCCCCAGGGGAGAAACCCACCCCACAGGCTGCTCAGCACTGCCTGATCAAGCCACACACAACAAATCCCCATGATTATTTGCAGAAGATGAGGGAGAACAAATAAAAAAAAAAAAAAAAAAAGGAAAAAAAGGAAAAAGAGGCAAGGAATTCTCTCTGCCTTTTATGGGGCGGGATGGATCCAGGTTAAGAAAACTCTGACCACGGCACTGTCTGGGGAGCAGGCATTCCACTGAACTGGTTAGGCAAGGGGCTGCGGGAGGGAGGACGGCTCGCTCGCTCAGGGGCATGACAGGAAGGTATGTACAGGGGGAGGGGGATGTGCTGCTCCATCCCTGGGGACAGCACTCCAGCTCCTGCCAAGAGGGTCTCCAGAGCCCTAGCCACACTGCTGGGGTGATAGTGGCAGAAGATTCACAGACTCTGCAAACACTTTACCAGGAGGCACTTGCTGAAATCCTTAGCCCAAAGCAGCTCTGGGTTCAGACCAGCATCTCTTAGCATCAGTGAGTTTACAGGACTTCTGAGACATGGTACGAGAAAGCAATTTTGCACCTGGTAGAGCAGGCTGACAGCACTAAGAGGGCTCCAGGACAATGCAGGGGTTACTGCACTGCCACACACCCACTCCTAGAGAGGGATCTCCAGATCCCTCCTCCCTGATGCCCCAGGGCATTTAACCAGTCAGACAAATATAAAATTGCTGTAACATTTTACCTGATTTCTAGCACTGCAGGACACAGGCTTTGCGATCAATGTTCATCCTGAATGCAGGGAACTAGACATCACCCCACCACACCCCACAGCTTCTGGCTGCATCCTTGATCAGAGGAGAGGCTGGGGACCACCTCTGGTGCACTTAATGAATGGCAGGAGGTCCACAAGGACACACAGGCAACTTACCTTCCTGGCCATCCGCAGCTCCTTCCCACACCAGGGCCATGGCAGAAAGTAAGTGCTCTCCACACCCACAGGGACCACCAGCCCTTCACTCCAGTTATGCAAAAAAGGCAGATCTTTGCTGGGGTTTCCCAGCCTGCCTGTGGTTCACACCAGAGGAAAGGAAAGGACACAGCTGACAGCCAGGATGGGCCACCCAGGACATTGTGAAAGAGCTGGTCACAAGGCACATGGTTGGGGAAGGCTGCTGACTGTCTAATGTTATACCAGACCCAAAAACCTCCTCCTGCCCCCTTCAGCTCTTTCCATCCCAAGCTAGTGCAGATCACCGGTTTCTCTTACCCCTTTCTTGCACAGGCACAGAAGTTTATTTCTTCCTCAAAACAAGTGCATGAGGACTGCAAGGTTGCAGCAAGAGACAGGGCTACAGCCCAGACAAGAGGGGTTTCTGTGTCACCCAGCCTTCTCCCCTAGGTTTCTCCCCAAAGAGCTGCATCTTCAAGGCAATGAACACAACTGATGGGTGCTCAACAGGGCCGGACTCGTGCTCATTTTCCAGCCCACTTGTGGGACAGTTTCTTCAGGCCCTGCAGCTCCTTCCCCACTACTAGATCTGTTGTGAACAAGCACTTGTACTCCAAAAGTCAAATAATAAAAAAAAATTAAAAATCACAGGTTCAACCAACACAACTCTTAGGCTCAAGGATGGACATCTTTTAAGACTGCAAGTTTAATTTTTCAGCCATAAATTGCAAGAAGGTGCAAATCTTATTTTAAAAGCTGATTGGAATTGCTTTAAAGTCCACACAAGGACAATTGCTTTAAATAAATCACTCTTAATTGCTCTGCACTCATTTAAATCTCACACGGTGATGCATTTTGGAGAAAAACTGGCCTTGCTCTTTTCCTAAGACAAATGTAATACTATAAAGCACTCTGCCTTGATCTCAGTGCTCATCTCCCAGGGCCCCTCTGTTTCTGCTGCATTCCTTTGTGTTTATCTGCCCTCTTCAACCCTTTGCTGCAATCAGCTGCGTGCAGCACCTCGTGTCTAGGAGTGACATGGCTGAGGTTACAGGAGAGACAGGTGCAAGGGAAGCTCGTGCCCCGAAGCCATCCGAAGGAAAAGAGAAGCTGGAGGGGAAGAGAGTTGTAAGGTATTTCAGATTAAAGCAAACACCTTGCCCCGGGCTACACATTCTCTGCCAATGAAAGCTGCAGCCGCTGCGAGCCCCAGAAACAGCAAAGCAAACACAGACTTCTCTGCAAGGGGAGTTGTCACCTGTCAGGGATGTTTGCAAATTTATAGGGAGGTGGTGGTGGTGGTAAGGGGAGTAAAAAGAGCTTTCCTCATTTTAAAAGACGGGCTGTTTGCACAGGTTTGCAGCGCATATTTTGCTTTGTGAAGGCTTTTGTCCAGCATTCAACTGAGAGAAGGTGCTGTCTTCCACTGAAGACAAACTGGAACATTTATTAATGTACATACATTAATGTACTCCGAGCTGCTGCCTTTACAGTAAGGGTGAGGATGGGATGGAATTTCCCCGCTCCCCCTTCAGCTTGTCACGTCAGTGAAAAACACTTCTTAAAAAGAAGTCACCCTGCAGCCTGGCCTGCAAGGCTGGGCTCAAACTCATCATCAGCAAGAAGTAATTGCATAGAGAAAGCTTCTTGTCCCCTTCCCAGGCAGCAGTGCTCAGAGAGAACAAGGGGAAGGGACTTTCCAGTCATGTTTCACTGCACCACTGAGGGAGGGGGAGACTGAACAGGCCTTCGGTGAGCCCAACAGCCACTGCAGGAGTGACAGGAGATGGGGAGGTGAGCTTGTGCTCAATGCCACAAACCCAGATTTGAGTACAAAAGGAGAAAAGTTACTGCTAAGGACCTTTAAACTGTTGGAAATTGTTTTTTAGGAGGACATAGTTCAAACAGACCCTTATAGTCCACTGTGAAAATCCAAATCCCCTGTAAACATGGAGAATCTTCTGGACTATTGAGGAGACACCATTTCACTGGAGCTGTGCTATAATGGTGGAAAAAGCCAAGATCTAGATGCTGATGGAAGACTTACACACCACTCCTCATCCCCACCAAATGCTGAATCAAAAGATAACCAGATGTGACGTGGGTCACCTCTCCTTGTGCACTTGGATTAGTTCACCACATTATCCAGGCACATACCCGACCTCAAACTGGCTTTTTAACCCTTTGCAACCTTCAGGGAGAAGGAAGAGCACTGCAGCCTCCCCAGCAGTCACACCAGTGCAGCACTGACAGGTCAAACCTCCTGTCACCAGGGGCTGGAACCAGAATGACCCAGGAGCTCCTTCCTTGCAGACACAATCCTGCAGGTCACAAACACTACCAGGATACAGACTGCCAACACACCATCACTGGGCACATCAAAAACTGTGGCTGGTTAGCCAGGGAATTAAACAACAACAGTTTCTCAGGATGGAAACATCCAGAGAAATAACAAGAAAATTTACAGATACCAACACAAATTTCAAACTACATTTTATTTTTACCCCAAAGTACACAAAACTCAGGAAGAACAGAAAGAGGACATGAGCAACTCGAACTCCAGAAATACCTCCTGCTCCAGCCTGCACGAAAAGCATCTGGCTTCTTCAGAAGAGCTATTGCTAAGGAAGAGCCAGTCTGTTCGTGCCAAAGGCAATGAACCAGCAAGAACCAGTGCCTCATCTGCATTCCAGTCTTGAGCCATATCCATGAGACACCCATGGCCAAGACTCATTACAAACACTCTGGTGTGAAGAAACTGGAGCAGAAAAGAACCCAACCACGGCCTGAAAACAAGTTTTCATTCATATGTAACCCTCAAGAGAAGAAAAAAAAGAGAAGAAAAAAGTGAAGAACCTCTGGCCTTGGTTCAGCAAAATTGCAACTGTGCCCAGAATCTGAATTATTTTAACCCTGAGGTCAGACTAGCTCTAAGCAGGGAGAGTGCAGGGATGGTTGAGTAGCCTATGCAAGGGGCTCCTCAGCTCTCCTGCCAGTTTAGCTGCCTCATCCCTTTCTCCTGCCACTGCTGCTGCAGGAGAAGAGCAGGTGAGGAGCCAGCCAGGGTGGGAAGATGGCCCTGGGGCAATGCAGCTGGAATAGCTCCTGCAAAAGCTCCCCTTCTGCCCCCAAAGGTAAAGGAAGTTTCTCATTACTCACCCACATTGGGTCATTCAGCTCGGTGTCCTGCACCCGGACACAATCCATGCTGATCTCAATTTTGTTTGTGGAGCCATCTTCAGATGGGCCATCAATGAAGTTTAAATCAATTGGCTGAACCGAGCATATTGGCCTGGAAAGAACACAGTAATGGAGTTAAAACTGGCCCAGTTCTGTTTTCCACCCCCCCACCTTCCTTCCCTTCCCCTGTGCCCAGGACTTGGGCATTACCACGAGCCAGTCTCATGGCAAAGTCAGGAATTGCTGAGGAGCAGCCACCTCCTCAGCACTGTGTTACAGCAGCCCTCAACAGGACAGGGCCCTGAGGGACTTTTCACTCACTCTGAGGCAAGAGCAGAGGAGTCAAATCAATCAAAGACAGAACTCATGGAGGATTTACAGAAGTGATTGTTTCAGCATCAGTCATGGCAAGTCAGGAATGGGAACAGAGTCAGCTTTCTTTCAGCCAATGGACCTGACAGGGTGAACTCTGCACCATCTTCACCTCCTCTCCCTCGCTGGCATCAGCAAGGGGCAAACATGCAGTCTGGACACAGAGTGATGAGCCCATTTCCTGAGGGGAAATGCCAACCACGAGCTGTAGGAGGCAGCCAGCTCAGCCACCAGAGGCCTGGCAGAGACTCAGTGTCACTGCTGCACTTGGTCCCCACAGCCTGGGTGCTGGAGAGCTCCAGAGCTGCCAGTCACCACAGGCTGACACATCCAATCACCACATCCATGTCTACTCAACAAGCACAGAAGAGTCCAAACTCCCCAGCATCAACCCCCTGAGCAGCTTAATTATAGAGGCATCCTGTCCTAAAACACCTTCCATATGTCCCATGTAAGGGATACTTACTGTTCCAGGAAGTCCCAGATATGCTGGATTACCTCTGGGCTGAGGAATTCCCTGGGCTGAGAGTTTTGGGACATGGCTGAGTGGTAGTAACTCTCCTTCCAGGAGAAGGGGCTCGGAGTTTCTACAAACCTTAAAAAACAAAAGCAAAAAAAAAAAAAAAAAACCAAAAAAAAAAAAAAAAAACCAAAAAAAAAAAAAAAAAACAAAACAAAAGAAAAAGAAAAACACACACAAAGACATGTTGAATGCATGAGTCCAGCTCAATGAAAACCCATAAATAGAAGCAATTGTGTGAAAAAGGAGACACACTGAATGCCTGAGACATTCACAGCTGTACAACACACATTCCACACTGCTGCAGATGCTGCGTTTAGATGGGAGAGAATTTGGCCACCCTCCCCTGTAAATTAAATATCCATCAGAGTCCACTGGGATGCTGTGTCATAAGAATCCCAGAGTGGAGGAAAAAATAACCCAAACAAACCATTTTCCCTTTCCCCCCAAATAATCAATTTCCCATATGAAGCAGGTAGTCTTTGCAGTGGGTGAAGCAGCTAAGTAATGTGGGATTCCACTATCCCAGGCTGTTTGCCTGTCTAAATGGCATGCCCTTGGATGATTTAGGTGACTTCTACACCCAGCCACTGCAGCTGAGGTCATGAACTAAGTATTGGATTGTGGTTTTACTTGGTTTGGGGTTTTTTTTGGTTGTTTTTAATTTTTTTAATTTTGAATAATAATAGTAATAAAATAATATTTTTGTTTTATTTTCTATGGAAATAAATTAAATCACATCAGATTTTACCTGCTTGTCTACTGCCTTCTCGCCTCCACCAGTTTCTGAGGCAGACCAACTGATTCCCACCAGATCTGCTAATTACCTTGGCCATTTTTATCCCCTTAAGCTCCCACAAGCCTCACAGAAATAGGTGGGCCCAAGAGGAGCAGTGACAGAGCTGGAGCACTCATGCCTTCCACAGCTGCACATTCTCATCCCACTGGCCAATTTCTAAATTCAAACACAGCAGCTTTTAGACCCATGTCAAAATACTTGACGGCTGTAGGGATGTAAGGGGGTGGGAGCAATTTCTCCAGTTTATTTGCAGTTGACAAAAACTCTCAGTTCAATTTCAGAGTATGAGGCAGGTGACCACCTTTCCTGCTACAGGGTTGGGGGTGTCCTGCAAAATTTACACATGAGAGTTATTTCAGCACAATGCAAGTGAACAACCACATTCCACCAGGGGAATGGCCATGGCAGGAGCCAAGGTTACAACTGGATTCCAAAGAGACTTGAACTAATATTTGGTTTGGCACATATTGGTCCTGATTAACACAATGGTCTAAACAAGTTGCATGGAAGATCCTAATTTATTAAGCTGCCAAAATTAAGAGTATTTCAGAGGGAAGATCACACTATAGTGCTTTTACTCCACTTTTCCTGAAGTATTTACTTCTGGTTGCTGTCAGAGAGGTATCTAGGTCTCTTTACTGAATTTTTATAGCCTCTTTCATTTTGAGGATGACTCTGGTCTGCAAAAAGCTGGGCTTTCCTCACCTCTGCTGTCCACAGAACTGCATGCTCTTAGAAAAGAGCAGATTGTTATTCTAAGCTAAAAGAAATAAAAGTGGCTTAAAAGCCCCCTGGAGCCAGTGCTGGGCATGCCTCAAAATAGCTGAAAGCATCACTTCAGTTCCTCATCCTTTTTGTGATTAGGGAGTCAAACCTCCAGCATAATTTAAAAGTTCACGAACAGCCAGAAACAACAATGAAATGCAGAAGTGCATGGGTAATAGCTCTGCCTCACAGATGGGAGAACATGCCCACACTACATGTGAAAAAATAATCAAAAATCCTCTGAGAACAGCAGTTATCCCACAAAGTACCCAAAATTACTCCTTTCAGTCAGGTAAGACACTTTCAAGAATGCCATACTAAAACCCAGAAGAACAGATCTGGCCTAAAGCCTGCCATATAAACTGCAGATCAATGCCACCACGAACCTTGAAGGAGCACAGTGGGAAGCTCTGCAACCTCCTCTGATGTTAAACCCAGACAGACCACAGGCATTGCTCAATACCCTGCACCCAGTCCTGACCACCAGGAATGGGCAGAGAAACCCCACAATGGGTTCTCTCAAGCCATCAAAGTGCTCATTTTTAACAATTATTTGCCACTTATAACAACTGCTTTTGACTTGTACACTAAAAATCACATTTCATTACTACACAGACAGGAACTGACTTCAAGGAAAAAAGAGTTATACCAAACTAGACCTCTCTCAGAGGCCTTTCCTTCAAAAAGTCTCAGGGCAACAAAGTTCTTGCATGCCACAGCATGCCCCAGCTTTAGTTCACTGCTGGACAAAGTTCTGTCTCAAAAAGACAGTGTCCCAGTTCACCCTGCCTGCTCTGGTCCTGTTCAGATGCAATTCCACAAACCTGCCCCAACCAAGCAGTGCAGGAGACATCAGCTGCACAAACTGATACAGCCAGGTTTGTTCCTCCACACCTTTGCAGCTAACAGAGCTGTCAGAAAGCATTGCACCAGTTAAGGACACAGCTGGTGCACCCCTCTACTAAACACAACTCCAAATTCCTCCAGAGAGGGACACTTTCCAGCTGCATCATCTTTATTTCTGTAGCCCAACAAGCTCCCAGCTTACTGTATCTAGGAAAAGCATTGCCAGATTTTACCTCATGATCAAAAAAGCACGTTTCCCTATACCAAGCACAAGAAGTCTCCTGGTTAATGCTTTCACAGAGACTCCTTCAACACCTTGACTACCTGTACAGCTCTATTTCCAAAGAAGGCAGCAAGATCTGGCAGTCAGCCTTGGGAAGGCAGCGGTGACAAGGCCACAGCATTACAGTAAACTCAGTTTGGTGCACCCTGTTCTCAGGCAGGAAAGCGCTGTCAAAAGGCAAGAAAACCAACTGCAGCTCAGCACAAAGCTGCATGCAAGATAAACTTCTCCTTCCATGTGGTCTCAACAGAATCTCAACCTAGTACTATTTTCCTTAACTAACAGCCTTCAACATAGAGGAGAAGCTTCTGTCTACCAAACACATACCTAAGTGTCTGGATTTCCACTGGAAAATAACAGCTAAAGCCTATGTAAAATCTGTGCATAAATTTCACTGCTTTAGTTAACTGTCTCTTCCCACATCAGCAAATGCTCTGCTTTCAGTACAACAGTTGTTGAGTGCCTAAAGTTAATCACAAGATTGCATTGCTTAAATTGCTTCTATGAACCAGACGCTTTTTTTATTAACAAGCATTTAAACAACACCTCTTTTACCTACATTGCTCATCCCAAAGGCCATAGCAGGAAATGGCACTACTGAACACAACCTCTTATACCAAAACTCTGACTACAACAGAACAAGGCACAGCAGTAAGCCTCGCCTAGGTTGTCTCTGTTCAAAGTCTGCAAGGTCCTTGCACCCACTGCTGAACTATCTGGCAGGATGCTTTTGACAAAAGAGAGCACTAACTGCACCAGCAGCTACAGGGGGATTTACAGCCCCCATCAAACTGTAAGCTGAATAGGACATCGCATCCACAAGCCCCTCCTTCAAAAACCACCAGGGGATTATTAACAGCAAGTTAAGTCTTCTCACAGAAGCAGCACCTCACCAAGAGCAGCGTTCCTTTGTGCAGCGCTGGCACTCTGCTCCTGAGCCGGTGAATCCCAGGACAGGTTTCAGGCAGCCATGCCCTCCCACCGAGGTCCTATTTATCTGCTGAAACAAGAGCAGCCCAGAGTCCAGGTGAAAGCACTTTTCCAAATTCACTAGGTGGGCTGGAGCCCCAGGCATACTGATAGTTGTGCTGCCTCCTGAGCACTCCCCCAGAAGAGCTGTGTTACAGCCCCTGAGTGGGAATGTGTCCCAGCTGATCCCCCTGGCCACCCCACTGATGAGTGACATCTCTGCAAAACACGGCAATGACAGCAACACGCACCTGTAGCTGTGCCCACACAGCACTCCATTTCAGAGTTTACAGAAAAAAACCCAAACCAAAACCAACTCACCCTTCCAAAAAAGGAAAAGCACAGCATTTGTCTCTCATAAGCTGTGGCCACACTGCTATCGCCTTTCCCTGGAGCTGTGTCCCATCACAGAGGAAATGAAGCCCTGACTGCTTGGCCAAGCATGACATAAAAGTGGTGATGAAGTGGAGAGAAAACAAGATCATTTCTGCACCCACTGCTCAGTCTAAGCACATCCTTCCATTCTTCACCACATCACCCCCTTTCCTACCTTCATATCAAAGAGATTAAAGATAAAGCAAACAAGCCACTCACCACCCCAGGAAACAATGACAGAAAGCCATTAAACTCAACACAATACACCAACACTTCTCACCCAAAATACCACCTTCCACTGCAAGCAATCTTTCTTAGAAAGGGCTTGAACCAAAACACCCAGGTTTGACTTACCACTGGGGAAAAGCCACAAGCTCCCGAGGAAAGCAAGACCCAGGCTTGACAGTGAGCATGCACAGCCCAGCCCCTCCTCTGTAGCTTTGAACCTTAAAGGCAGATGCCACCTGCTTTGCACTGATAGAGGGTCAAATCTGACACAGGCTGCAGCCCGAGCACCGCTGGTGCAAGTGTGAGTCCAGCAGCCTCCTTCCAAAAATAAAGGCTGTCGCAACCAAGAGGTAGCTGGTTTCCTTTGTGTTTTCATCCAAAACGGGCTTGGTGCTTCAACACTCTGAGCTACTCCGGGGTAATAGCATGGTTTGTGAGGAAGCCAGAAATGAAGAAGGTATCTCAGTGAAGCTGCTGTGTTGGGTTTCAAGAGGTCCAAGCACCTCCATTTCTCCATAACTTCCCTCAAAAACCGGAGCTCTGGTTTGGTTTGTGCTTGTCCAGCAGTATGCAAGTTCTCAGAAATTGTCGGTATGGTTTATGGGTGCAGAACTTTGTGGCTTGATGTTGGTGTAAAGCCACACTGTAAAATTTTGTAAAATGAAATCTTTCACAGCATGGATGAGCAAAATGATTTGGAGCTTTCTTTCTGCTTGTTCCCAAACTACAGAGTGAGTGTTGCTGTCTGCTTCTCCCTATGAAATGCCTATTGATGGTGTACAATTTTCTGTCAGTGGGCCTGTAGTTCTC